GTTAGAGAATATATTGGTTCATATTATTCAATATATTGGATATATTGAACTAAAACAAAAAAATAACATTCAAATGAAAAAATTGGTTAAAAATATTAAATACCTTTAGCATGTTCTGAATATGCATTTTCCTCTTTACCATGATCAATTTCATCTCCAGAATTTATATCTGTTAAAATTAAAAAGGAGAAATTTAATAATTTGTTGGTAGCAAGTCATCATATAATTTGGTTCTATGATTCCTCTTTCCCCCGGGTGTCCCCCAACCAGGGTATCGTTTTCAGCGATTTTGCTCTGGAATTAACAAGGTATCRTTTTTAGCAAATTTACTCTGGAACAGGGTATCGATTTCAACAAATTTTCTCTGGAACAGGGTCAGGATTTAATTCTGGAATTATTGGCACTGGGTAAAAATTTATGAGGTAAGAATTCGGCCTACGCAAGCTATGCTGGATTTTCTCTGGAACAGGGTATAGTTTTCAGCAATTTTACTCTGGAACAGRGAGTATAGTTTTCAGCGATTTCACTCTGGAACAGGTTCAGGGTTTTGAGGTCCCAGGTCCCAGCGGCACACCCCCACCCAAGTTGAGGAGTCCTCCCCCCTGGGCCTCTTTCTACATGCATTTATCACCTTTATCCAAAATGCACTTGTAGGTGATTTTGCCCTTTTTACATGAATAGCTCCCAATAACTTTGACATTATATTTGCTCTTAGTTTCCTTTCCATTATGTTTGCTCTTAGTTTCCTTTCCATGCAACAATATGCCACGGGGATACAAGACATCACCTTTGTCACATATTTCAAGGACATCACGTTGGGCATTTTCATCAGCTGTGATAAATTTCAATTTCACAAATTCAGGCCTTGTCTTATCGCTTGAGTGATCACCCCCTACACCAAATAACTGATCGGATAATTCTGTTGGTGATTTTATTTGCTGAATGGTTTTGCTGTACTTTGAGACATGTTTAGGGATACGTGTAGGTTCCAAAGGCAGACATCGGTGATTAAATACCTCAACTACATGTTCGTATCCCATCAAAGTCAATCGTTCTAATTGTTTCTCTTTGATATCAAATAATCCAGCCTGAATCCCTTTGATATTTTTTCTTGGAAATTCATCTGGCAAAAGCAGCATATACTGGCAATTTTGGTGAATAGTTGGTAAATTTGTGTTATTATCAGGAAGTCTTCTAGGCATCAATTGTTGACAGTTTATAATACAGGCTTTCATAGGATAAATAATAAAATAGTCCTCTAGAACTGTTACTTCTACATGCACAATCCCTTCTGTGCCATTAGCACCACGGCCTGTCATCACTTTACGATAAAATTCCATTTAGACCTGTAAATGTCATAATGAGGATGTCAGAAGCACATAAAAATACAATCATAGTTTGGGTAGGGTTTCAATACAGTCTGTCTGATTACCAGACATTAAATATTAAACGCTCTTTTAAAACATAAGCTTACCATAGGTGTTATTCTTAAGGTTTATCATACCTGTACACACCCTTTTGCACATCAAACAGTTTTAACTGACTGTTAGTTTGACCTACTAATCATACTCAAATTTCCTCTAATACAGACAAAACGTCTTGAAAAAAGGGCATGGCTGACTCATTTTAAAACCCTAAGAGAATGCACAACAAATGTTGTCATGTCATTTCAATCGCCCTGGTACTTTTACGCCCGCCTGAGTCCCCCCTGGCCTATACATGAATGCCAGTGCAGTATCATTTTCAAACCTACCAAGAGAAATTACTCAATACTTGCACAGCTTTATCTTTTAAGCCAAGCAAGTCTTCTGCTTAAATGTCAGGTTCAGAAATTATAATTTGATCTTCATTATGGCCTAAATATTTAAGTATGTTGAAAAGAGCAGAAAAGCAAAGTAGGGCTATTTTCTTGCTTTTCTCAAAATCGGCTAGAAGAATTTCTTTGGTTTGTGATATATTATTTATTCAACAAATAAATAAGGTTCAGCCGTGGTTTATATCTCTCATAAACCACACTTTTTTGGCCAATCAGAGTGCGCATTAGAATTATTTATATAATAATAAGCTTAGAATTAATGTGCCATTCGAAATCGGCCGGAGGGAAATCAGTGTTCTTTGAAATTCTTCTTTTTGTCATAAAACTAATATTTATTGGAGTAAGCTAAGTTCAACACTGTCTGTTTATTTGAGGAAAATCGAGTTAGATTAAGTTGTTCAAACGGTCCTTTAAAAATGTTTAGTGTGGAAGGAATTGTGAAGGTATGCAGAAATACCTTTACTCATTTTCTTGTACAATTGCGATATAAACACAATCAAACACACACGTATATTTTGAAATGAAATTTACGTTTTCTACGCTTATAACTTATTTTTGTGTTCAAATAAATTTCGGAGTGTCTAAACGTCAGGCAGTTTTTTCTTATAAAATTGTCGGAACAACCGTAATTTCAATTAATACAACAAGGGAAATGCAATTAAGACTGAAATAATACTGTTCGACAAGTTTCAAACGCAAGCACGGCATTTTGAGATTTTCAACTGCCTGACGTTTAGTCCCAGAACTAAACATCAGGAGCCGGTTGTACGAAAGCCGATTAGCGCTAACCCAGGATTAAATCCGAGGGTTRACTTAACCCAGGGTTAGATTGCGTTGCTCAAATGACGATTAGTGTTAATCTAGGGTTAAAAATTGCTAATCAAGGGTTAAATTTTAAYCCTGCTAGCGAGCAAGATTAAATATTTAATCCACGATTAAAGTTGACGAAAACAAAATGGCGGACTTGTTGTTTAATTTTCCCGCGCGAAAATTCACTTTTCAACCCAACTCTTTAGACGATTATGCGGATGATTATTTGAGAATCCGATATAGGTTCGGCAAAGCTTCCCTGAGATTATATTGAACACTTGTTGGAAAATGATCTTGAGCGAGAAACGAGACGAAACGAATGCCATTCATAATGATTGCTCTTCGATTTTACGCAAGTGGCAGTTTCTTGCAAATCGTAGGAGACACTTTAGGGGTAGATAAGGCTACAGTGTCAAGGGAAGTCACCGATGTGTCGAAAGCTTTGGTCAATAGGCGGGCTGATTTCATAAAATGGCCTACAAACGACGACGATCTCAAGGCATGAAGAGCAGTTTCTTTCTAACAACGAATATGAGTAAACATTTGTATAGGAGACGAACAAATACATTAGAGAAATAAAAAATCTAAAATAATAACTAGTGTAATTACTCATACATGTATTATACTGTAGTACATGTAATCATCATACTTTTTCACGCCTAATCCCGAATTAAATCTAATGTAATCTACTTATGAATAAACTATATTTTTACCTTTTTACTAACATACTGGGATGTCCTCAAAGACCTAAATTCGTTCATTGCTCGGCCCGCAGGGCCTAGAGCTTAGTTCTACAGATTGAAATCCGAAAGGGCAGAAAAGTAACATTTCRTAACTACGCACGCTCGTCAAAACTCGTTAAAGCGCGAACGACGACGAAGATGGTCGAGCTTTGGCCGTCAGCTCTACGGATAGTTTTCGATCGTAGAATTCCTTGCGATTTTCCGCCGAGCATGGACGAGGAAAGACCGAGTAGCTTTTTTCAGCATTCCTTCGGCTTTTTTTCGGAAAGTCAGAAAATTTCGGAAGCACATGGAAAAATCCTCTTTCCCTGGAGACTTCTTCTGACGAAGGTAAATCCATCTACATCCAACGTTTGTATCTGTACTGTGTCTCTATCATAAATTTAGAGAATCAGTTTGATATCTTACGTGTTATTTTGGGAAGTTTGTACTTTCGATGTTGATATTTTTGACTAGATTTTTGTCAGTTCTCAACATTGCATTGTTTGCTTGATTCAAACATCAAACATTTTCTTTGTAAAGTT